AGAATACGACACGCAATAAGTACCAAGAGAACACAGCAATATAAACTCACACTCGCACCACCAGGCATGCAGACACATTCCCAGAACGCTGCACATGTAAACATATCAGTCCAAAACTTTAGAAATCAACTAGCATGAATTTCATAGCATGTCTGTAAAACCCATAAAAATAACAGTAGCAAATGGAGATTCAAAACTGCAAGATTCAAAGCCCTGGAAAACATTGTAAGGTCAGGCTAAAAATGCTGTAAACATTGCTTCATGCTACAAAAACAAATGGTCAGTCTTGTTTTTACAGGAGGACCAGTATATATAAAGTATCTCAGATTTAGGATCAAATTCTGCTCCAGTTCTGAATTGACTTCAGTCCTATAGCTAAGGGTAAACACCCCTGATCAAATTACATGTTCTCTTGATTTTCTAAGTGAAAATACATTGACACATCCTCTACAGAGAACAATCTGAAATCTTTCTTTAACATTTCTATTTATTTGTTGAGTTTAACATATTGGGGGAAAAGAAACCATAACGTATGGCAGGTGCCAAAACTTTTGCACAGGTCACATTTAATGATTTTTCTCAATATGTTAAATTCAGCAAATAAACAGTAACTGTGCATCACAATATGTAGAGGCATGTATGCTGTATGGGATGTGTACATATTTGCATACAGTTTGACCAGGGGGGCCCAAACATTTGCGTACAACCATAAACTTGTTTCATCATGAAATGTGTTCTTTCGTAGATGCTGTTGTGAGGTTGGATGAGCGTAACAGAATGCGAAAAATACCATTCAACCTAGATCACATAACTTGGTTTGTCCAAATACATTTTTTCATAGTGTTATTCATGTCAAACATTCACTTTATTGTACTGTCTTCCTAACTGTATTCATATGAAGGAATAGATTTGGTGCCATGTAAGCTTATCACAACAGTTGCTAGGAAAGAATGCATTTGTGGGCGGAGCATGAAGAGGTAAATCACAAAAGACAGGTCCTAGCCCATCTGAGATACATTATCACCTAATAATCTGGACCTCCCAGTGTTACATTCTATAGCCAAAACCCAGCTCACACTGGTCAGTCCCTCCTATTTTTTAATGGCTGTGCTGTATGGTGCAAGGTATGGGTGAATTTGCGGCAGGCACAGTGCATGTTTCCACACAGCCTGTTTAATGTACTACATGCCTCTTTTCAGCTCTGGCCAGAAGCAGAGGTCACTGAAGCGTTTGAACAGCAAAATACATTTTCTACAGCGATCAGTCAGGACAATGCTACATGGGGATCTATGAGGATTCAAATTCACTCCGATGTTACAAAATGTGTATAAAACGTGCAGCAATGAGAGAGAGAGAAAGAGAGAGTCAGAGGGGTGGTCTATCGGGTGAAAAGGCAACTGGTAGTCCAGCCGTCAATCTCTCCTACTAAAAACACAAGCAGGAGGCATTCAGGTAATGCAGAATTTGTGCAGCTTTGCTGATCCTTAAATTATTATTTCCATAAAATCCCCATGTGATGTATAAACAGTTGTTTCCTCCTGGTCCTGGAACACCCCTGTCCTGTATATTGTAGTGTTTTCCCTTCTCTAACACACATGATCCAACTAATCTGCTAATTAACAAGCCCTTCCTGAGTGGAGTGGATGTGTGAGTGGGAAAACACTAAAATGTGCCAGATGGAAATATTCCAGGAGGCTGGTATACACTCTGGTATACGCTTTTAAAAATAAAGGTGCCTGGTTCTTGGTTATGTTACCTGGATGGTGCCGGATCTATCTATCTATCTATCTATCTACACCGATCAGGCATAACATTCTGACCACCTCCTTGTTTCTACGCTCATTGTCCATTTTATCAGCTCCACTTACTATATAGATGTACTTTGTAGTTCTACAATTACAGACTGTAGTCCATCTGTTTCTCTGCATACTTTGTTAGCCCCCTTTTACCCTGTTCTTCAGTGGTCAGGACCCACATGGACCCTCACAGAGCAGGTACTATTTGGGTGGTGGATCTTTCTCAGCACTGCAGTAACACTGATGTGGTGGTGGTGTGTTAGTGTGTGTTGTGCTGGTCTGAGTGGATCAGACACAGCAGTGCTGCTGGAGTCCTGTGGGCAGCGTCCTGTGACCACTGATGAAGGACTAGAGGATGACCAACACAAACTGTGCAGCAGCAGATGAGCTATCGTCTCTGACTTTACATCTACAAGGTGGACTGACAAGGTAGGAATGTCTAATAGAGTGGACAGTGAGTGGACACAGTGTTTAAAAACTCCAGCAGCACTGCTGTGTCTGATCCACTCGTACCAGCACAACACACACTAACACACCACCACCACGTCAGTGTTACTGCAGTGCTGAGAATGATCCATCACCCAAATAGTACCTGCTCTGTGAGGGTTCATGGGGGTCCTGACCACTGAAGAACAGGGTAAAAGGGGGCTAACAAAGTATGTAGCGAAACAGATGGACTATAGTCTGTAATTGTAGAACTACAAAGTGCACCTAGGTAGTAAGTGGAGCTGATGAAATGGACAATGAGCGTAGAAACAAGGAGGTGGTCTTTTTCAGTCTTTTCAGTGATGTTTTGTTGATTTTCTTAGTTAAAATAAGAAATACGTTAACACATCCTCTAAAGAGACCAAACTTAATTAAGGCATTTTCCTTCTCTGTAGAAGATGTGTACTTATCTTCACTAACAAAATCAACAAAACGTGCAATCTGACACGTGAACCGTTGTGAACCTTCATGACAACAGAGCTCCGATTAGCCAGCCTGATTTTTAACGCATTTAGTAACTGATTTTTTTACATACAATGCAGAAACTACATCTGGCTGTGATTCAAAATGTCACAGAACAGTCTGACAGTTTCAGACTTGATGTGAGAAATGCCATTAAATTGTGCATGTTTATTTTTAAAACGTGATGAGTGTTTTTTCGATCGTAAAACTGTGAATAGGCCTTGACTCTATTGCAGACAGAGCATGATCCATTTCACCCAAAAGCCTGTTACCACCAATGAAAGATTTGGCTAAATCAGTCACTAACCCAGGAATGTTACACTCTCCTGTCCGTCAGAGACGTCTGTATGTGAAACGGCAGCTGTGACGGTAAAAGTATGAAGGCTGGATGAGTAGGAGTGTTTATTGGAGGGGCCAGAACGTTTGGACGATGTGATGCAGCAAATCTTAACAGCCAGTAGAGTCATGCTTTCTGTAAAAGGGAAATACTCAAAAAAAAAAAAAAAAAAACAACAAAAAAAAACTAACATTTCACTATTTCGCGAGTGGTAGATATAATGACGACTACTGTGAATTGATGCAGTTTTGTTTACTATGTGTCCTTCATAAACATGCTGAGAGATTGAAAGACAGGGTAAAAATCTGACGGTAGTTTCAGGCATCCTTCTTTATCACCCTGTCTCTTCATTCATTGTGCGCGTGTTGCAGTGATTGCGTCAGGTTTCGTGAATCTCCTGCCTACACAGACTGTGAGTGGAGCTTGGGTGAAAAAAGGACTTGCGAAGTGAGGTTCTGTTAATTGTTGTCATGGGCGTCACTTTATGTCGAACATTGTTGGGGACAAGGACAAGATAGATCAGAAAGTATGAAATGTGTGAACAGGGTCACAATGACAATTTTACACTGTATTTCCTTTTAAGGAGCTGTGCTGAGCGCAAGTTTGGCAATGACACACAAAGGACAGAGTGTTTTTTCTCCGTGATTAAACAGGACACAGAACCTGTCCTTCATTACGGGTGATGCTTTTTAGAAAAAGTTGAAATAATGAAACTATTTTAGCCTCAAGTCATGGTCAGGGATCTACCTTCCTGTTCAAAAAATAACCAACTTGCAGCAAAAGCTATTCACAATTAATTTCATTATTGTATTTACGTGCATGTCAGAGATGGATTTAAACAAAACATACCTGGAAACACAAGGTGAAGCAGTCGTTTTACTCACACTCAAACCAACCGTACCTGATATTACAGTGGCTAGGTCACTTTATCAGCTCATGTTAATTCATTAGACTTCGTTACAAGTCATTAATATGTCTCAGGACAATAATTGAAATAAATTGAACACTTAAACTAGAAGTAGCTACTAATACACTGAAGTAGCACTCATGCAACCACATAAACTCACCTTAACCATTATTTAATATTAACAATTTATGCCAAGGAAAGGAATTTAAACTGTGGCTCAATATGGCTGGCTAAGGTACTGACCATTCGCATTAATAATTCCACAGCGAGCGCAGAACAGAGCCAATATCGGGGATGAAGGACAGCTTTTAAAACTTGACACATCCCGACTGTCCCCCCGTGTGAAATAATGCTTATGTTCACAAACATATTTCATGACATAAAATGTTGCTAATACTACACAGATGCTTATTTTAGAAAAATAGAGGTTAAATGGTAACATATATTGTGCTAATAAGCTAATAATTAGCTAATTTTTAGACATTACTGTTAGCTGCCAAGTATCAAGCTACCAAGCTAGCTAACATTATGCATATGATAGCCAGTGCAGTAGCTAGCTAACCTGGTAACCTTCCTTTATATTTGGCTTTAGGTTTGGTTTTAAGTTATTAAAGAACCTTCTGAACCTGGAGAACTTTATGGTTTTGGTTGCTGGAACAACTTTAAAGAACCTTTTAAGAGGAGTTCTACAAATGCTGTAAAGAACCATTAAGAGCTATTTTAAGAGTCCAAAAATGGTTGTTTATGGCAGAAACAAATTTAAATTCTTTAAAGAACGACCTATTGAAAGGTTCTTTAGTGAACTAAGAGTGGTTCTTCTGTGGCTTTACTCTAAAGAACGCTTTTGGTCACACTTGGCACCTTTATTTTTAAGAGCATATTGTGCACAAAGTCTGAATCACTCAAATCCCCCCCTCACTGTTATCTGTAATCTCCAGCATCTCCGTTCCATAAAGCATTAAGAGACCCCACTTCAGGCATATCAGCCATCTCAATGCCCACCACATATAAGTCTACTATTCAGCCAGTCCCTGTCACTCTATCCTCACTCCTGGCAGGTGCTCTGAGGGAGTTCGTTGGTCAGAACATGCCACCGCTCCACCTTCTGCCCCTTGTTCCTCAGGCAGTCCATCCAATGGCGTAGGGCGTCTCCTTGAGAGTGACAGCTCAGGCACACTCCACCTGTGATACAAAGGTCTTTTCAATAGAGTGAACAGGTGCATTTTGCATCCATGAGCCTGAGTGGTCATGCGAGAACTCAAGGCTGTAACTGCTTTTAAAGTCAAGGTCAAAAATTTATTTTTCCCCTTGCTCCAAATGTAGCCAATCAGATAATGTAGTCAATCATGTTTGGTGTCCTAAGTTTTGCATTGGGGCTACAAGGCTAATGTAGTTTGGCACTGTGCAAAATGCATGCCTAAGTCATCTCACATTTGCCTAAAACCATTTTGAGCTGTTAAGTAATCCCAAGTAAGCTTGCTTATGTGATTTGTGACACTGCATGATATACTGACACAAACAGACAAAAGTGCAGGCTGAATCAGGGCTCAATTTTTTTTTCACAAGTACTCAAATATTCGGTGAAGTGTTCGAGGTGCCAGTGATCGAATACTGAAATCATCATTTGAGTACTAGGAGTTTTAACACAGAAAGATACTGAATATAGACAAACCATCTAATGAATTGTGTTAGCCAGATCTAGAAACAGTGGAAGCATATTTATCTGAGAAACTAGCATGTTGCACATCATCCACTGCAGAGAAAAGACCTTGTGTAAGAGACGAGTCTTCATCAGCATCCAGTGTTGTACCAGTTCGCTGTAGTTTTGGCTCTGAAGAGGCAGCCTCTGTTACTCATCCAAGACAAAAACTACCTATTAAAACTACTATTTCCCTTGCCATTTTTTGAGTAATTAAACTTTTTCAAATGTATTTTTCTGCTTGCTTCTTTTTTTTTTGTGCTACTGATTTTTTGGCCTCTTAACACCAGAGCTACTGCCTATAAGAGTAAAACTCAAGCTCCAGCCCTACCCTGACCTTAAACTTGTTTTTTTTTTCTCCATAGTTAGCCGGATATCCATTTATTAACTACATTTTCTGAGGATATTTGCATATCAAAATTATTAGGAATGGACATCACTACAGAAAATGATCAATAAATATAGATTTTTTTCATCATTCATGACCATGGGTATTATACTGTAACATAATCAGTATATCTATGGCAGTTTCCATTTGGCCAGGGAATGACAGATCTAAAGCCTTTTCAATCCAAGTTTTACAGATAGAAAATGCATATCAATTGTGAAAATGTATCCATTAACACTAATGTCATCTTTTGCAGCAGAACCCATGGTTGCTGCTGTAGTTTGTTTGTTCAATTTGATGTTCCGAGCTCAAGCATGCCTTAAGCTTCATCACACACACACAGAGCTTCTGAGTGAGCCAGTGGAACTCCCTGTGCTGTTATTACTTATTTTTTTATGTCTGTGTGTTGGAGTTGCACTGGCTAAAAGAAATTGGTAACTTTGCTCGATCCAATTGTCCTCTGTGTCTTCTTTCCACATACTCCGTTTTTAAAAAAGGGCATCAGACTTGATGTGAAGGTTTCAGGGTAATCTGTAAAAATTGACTGAAATGTGAAAAGACCCCACAATGCACTCATGTCACGGTGCACGTAGCAACTCAATTCTATGCATGTACACACAGATGCTCAGGCATGTGCACAGATAGATGGCGAGGTGGGGTTTGAGCCCCTGCACCTTTTACCGTCAGACTGTATGAGTTCTTTTGGTAGGTGTGATTAATAACTGTATCTATTTCCTCTGCCATTCTTCAAGGTCAGTTAGAGCGAGATGATGGTCAGTCTCGGCCCAGGAACACAGCTCATGGATTGGCTTTGTTTTTATGAGATCCGTTGCTCTTGGGCGCCCCCTCCAGTCCCACTACCTCTGGAGATTGCTCCAGTTGCTGCGACCTATCACGCATCACCACAGCACTGAAAATCCCATGATAAACACCGATAATGTCTTTAAGAAAGCATTACATTCTATAATGTGGTTGTTTTAAACAGCAACCAAACATAATGTTGGAAAAAACAGGGTGTTAAAAACTTTCTATGCCATGTTTTCATTATGACTCTGTGGAGCTCTTAAATGAAGTTAAAACTGAATACTTCAAGATGATTAAATAATATAGTGACAACATTTTTGCACAGTGGCAACTGATATTCAAATCCCTGCTTAGATAATAACATTAGTGCTTCCAGTTGCCTTTTGAAAAATTCTTAACAGTATATTTGTTTTTATCTGAAACATAATTGCACTGTCTCTCTTGATAAGAGTGATCGCAATATACACTAAAATAGATTGGATTTAATTCTTGTTCATGGTGTGCTTTTTTCCCTTTTGCCTCTACCCCACAAAAAATGTCTGTGCATAGTCCTGACAGCACTCATCCACACAAAACCGAAGAACAAAGGAAAACTTCTGCAAATTCATTTCATCGCTGTTATCGTTAATAAATTATAAAACAATAAATTATAAAAAAAAAAAAATCAATATTTACCAGGAAATAATTGAATTACGTAAGTATTTAATTTCCTTTTTAAAAAACAAGGCAATTTTGTTGATTTGACATAATTTACTAAAATTGGTTAAACTTGATCTCCTATCACATTTCATACACAACTCAAAATTAATTTATTTATTAGTGTTTATTTAACTTATGCTGATCAACCTAGAGTTTGTTTGAAAGTGGTCACTATAGTGCCCAATCAGTTTAGAAGAAAACTTCGTAACAAACTCTTACCAATTAATCAATATATAGAACATATGAAGGGAAGATGAGGACTAGAACCCAAGCTGTGGTACGTTTACCTCCAAGGGTACGTTGAATGGCTCTGGGGGTACATCAGAAATTCTGACATTAATCTTTATTTAATTAAATTAATCAGCCGGCCGTACAGTTACACAGATACATCCCTGATATGGGCCACACAATCAGCACAGGGCAAACTCGAGCTAACTGTCGTTAAGGCTTGTATGATGCTTGTTAGTCCTGTACTTGTGTTTCACTTTCACAGATGTGGTTAAGTTTGTGATTTTAGTGAGTTATTAGTTTGTAGCTGCAGCGATCAGTGCTTAGCCATTAGTATTTTGTTTACATGTTTACATGTTAAATTCAGAGCGGAGGATGTTACTGTGACATATGTGATCTGAAACATGTATTTGCCCTCATATTGATGCTGCAGCATTTATGATTACAAATCAAAAAAATGTTCTGTGATCTGCCTCCCTATGTTCCCTGAGCTCTGACAGGAACTCCAAGCTCACTTACACCTTAAATACAGTAATACAGTAGCATCCATAATTTTGTTTATTTAGTAAGTATTATTCATTTTAAGGTAAACGTTAACTAAACCGTCTTAAGGCTTTATTGTGTACATTAAATGAGTTTTAAAGGTACACTGCATTCACTTTTTTCAGGGGAAAAGGACATATTTGTACCTTTACATAAGCTAATATTTCAAAATAGAAAAATAAATTAAATGTCTGTGTATATATCTGGAATATGAATATGTTTGTATGAGGAGCAAGTAGTGAGTGGGGGTATGCACCAGGTGGTTTAAAGTGTAAAATTTAAAAGTTTGGGAATAACTGGACTGGGACAAAAGATAACACAGAGATGATAAGTGAAAAAGGAGAAGGCCACTCCCAGTATGCAATTATATTAAGCTAGGACCCACAACGTCATCACCTGTGTCTCTCCAGCTACTAATGGCAACAAACTAACCTAAATTTCAATATGTTGAACTCAGAAACGCCATTTGAGTACATGAAATAATCAAACATGTTCCCGAGACTCAATATAAACTTTTCTAACAGACACTATTAACAAATTTAGAAAAGCTTCAATAAAATATTCGCTCAGAGTTTTGTTGGAGCAGTGACATGGCAGTCGCTGTATGTGAGGGAGAGGAATGCGAGTAGCTGACGTATTTGTATCGCTAACTGATTGGTACTTTGGCAGATCTGACATGCCAATCTTAGTCCCAAATCGAACTGAAATAAATGGCAAAAAAAAAGTGATTGAAAAAAATCTCATAACAGAAAAGACCAACAGCATTCTTTCTCACGTAGTAAAACTACACAGAACTGTAAATAATAGTGACAGGAAAATCAAATCAAAATTAAATTTTTTATGTGCAGTGTATAACATACAGTGTCAAAAACCACAAAAGCAAGCCTAAGCAAGACTAAAGCTACCAAAAATATCTTTTCTGACTGACCACATTTGATCTGCTTTACTGCTGAGTTTCTCATTACATGTGAATGTTGTTATCTGCAGTAATGGAAGCAAACTGGCTAGTGATAAATGCAGCATCAATCAGTTCAGAGTCAACAATCATGGTCAATATCCAACACAGTGGCATGTTCAAGAGATCAATATTATATGGACCAATTTTTTTTATTCTTTTTGTTCTCACCGATGAAATCATTGGAGCGACCCAGGTCGTAGTCCCATACTGTCACCTCCAGTGTCTTACTGACCAGTTCTGAGAGGGAAATCTCATAAAAGAACTCCTGTGAATGGAACGAAATTGAGAATGAGACAAATGACACACTTGGAATTCTGTGGCGATGCGCTGTGGAATCATCATTTCCCATGAGTCCTGTTCAAAGTGCAATGCGGTGTGATGGTGTCACTGAGTGCGCTATGTGCTCTTGAGCAGATAGCAACTGGGGCCTATAGAACCGGTTCCACATTGCCCAGTGGAGTAATTGCACCAGTAGCCCATGCTGCTGGGGGACTAGTGAGGGAATGAAAACGAGGCACTCATCCTGACTGATGATACTCAGCGCCCACATGCACACGCCAGAGACAGGAGGAGCGAGGGAAAGAGAGAGATTGGAGGTGGGGTGTGGATGGAAAGATTGGACCAGACATCTCATTAACACTTACTGTGGCTGTCAGCCTTATAGAGGTTATGAGATACATAACGCATGCATACACAAATACGCACAATCACTTATGCATGCACACCGACGAACATTTTGTAGTGGGTATATCTTACAATTGGTCGCTTCATCAAAGGGTCCGTACCTCATTGAATTCTGGGTTAAGGGTCTTTTTAATCACGGCCGTTTTATGTTTCGATTTCTTCTGCACGTCTGGCTTCAGATATCTGGAATGGTGGGGCATAAAGTGGGGGAGGGATGGAAAAAAAAGGACATAGAAAGGTGGGAGGCGCGCACACACACAAACAACTGGAACAGAGGCATTGTGCCACCTCTCATGCATCGATTGAAACTCGCCGCTATTTGCTTTTCTGCATCCCACTGGCTTCCATAAAATTTTCATTTGCTTTATGTACTGCTGTTAACTCTCACTCCCTGCCCCCCCACCCTCCCCAACGCACACACTCCCTCTCACGATCAAAGCCAAAATTCTTACTGTGTAGTTTGAGAGAGAGAGAGAGAGAGAGAGAGAGAGAGAGAGAGAGAGAGAGAGAGAGAAAGAGAGAATACGACATGGACATGTGTGTGGGTGGGGGCCCTGTCGATTCTCTTGCCATTTTGCCTGAGGAAGGAATATTTATTTTAACACGCGATGTGGGTGAGAAGTAAAGCTATGTGAAATATGTAAAGTGAAAACCTGTGGGGGATGGGGCCGAGCTGTTTACATTCAGCTTCAGCATAAATATTCGTCCATCTTATTCCCATCATCTCTTTCTGTCTGTCGTTTCTTCCCCAAAAGATCATTTATCATCTTCCCCTCTTTTCCAGCCCCTTGCTTATACTCTTTTGACAACTTTTAATCCTGCATGGTTCAAGTACCCAAACCCAAGATGTTTTCTTGCTGTCCTGATGTTCGACGACTTAAAAAAATGCAATAAGGATTAAATCATCCACCCACACCAAAGCTGCGCCTACACCACACAGCTTCAGAGAGAAAAGTCACGCCCGCTCACGTTTTGACGTAGGGGTCAGAGAAGCCGTTGACGTCCATGGCGGCCAGGTGGGCGCATCGCTGCACTCCGACCCACAGGCCCCCCCGACGGCCATCTCCCTCTCCCTCTTCGGGCGGGGGCAGAAACTGCAACGAGAGCAGCAGGCGACCCCTCTCCTCCAAACTGTGCAACTGCTCATTCTCCCACTGCAGAGATGGAAGAAAAGACAAAGAGAAATGGTGGGGTGGACAATATGCACAGAGGAGATATTGGAGAGTTAACACAAGATGAACCTAAGATACACTCTTATTATTCAGTTTTATATATTAATATGTATTGAAGAGCTCAGTGACTTTCAATGTGGCACTGTGATAGGATGCCAGCTTTGCCACAAATCAGTTTGTGAAATTTCTGCACTACTAGATCTGCCCCAGTTAACTGTAAGTGCTATTTTTGTGAAATGGAAGCATCTAGAAGCAACAACAGCTCAGCCACAAAGCAGTAGACCACCCAAACTCAGAGCGGGGCTGCTGAGTGCTGAAGCACGTAGCATGTAAAAATAACCTATCTTCTATTGCATCACTTAATACAGAGCTCCAAACTGGCTCAGGAAGCGACATCAGCACAGGTTTTAGGCTCAACCACTTAGTTCCAGTGAAGGATTATGTTAACGCTACAGTATACCAAGACATTTTAGACAATTATATGCTTCCATATTAATTGTGGCAATAGTTTAAGGAAGGTCCTTTTTCCTGTTCCAGCATGGCTGTGCTTCTGTGCATAAAGTGCTGTCCATAAAGACATGGTTTGACGAGTTTGGTGTAGAGGAACTCCAGTGGCCTGCACAGAGCCCTGACCTCAACACCATTAATGGGGGATGAATTGGAATGTTGATTGCAAACCAGGCCTTCTTGCGCAACATCAATCTGACCTTACAAATGCTCTAAATGTGTACAATTCTCACAAACACTCCAAAGTCTTGTGAAAGCCTTTCCAGAAGAGTGGAGGTTATAACTGATATAGTGGGAGCAACTCCAGGTGTCCACATACTTTTGGCCATATGGTGTATATGGTAAAGGTGTTTAAAAAAGGTCATTTAAAAATGCAACAACATGTTTGAAAAAGTCCACCTGAGTGTTCAGGAAGTCAAAAGCAGACTTCTTTTATCACCAGTGGAATAATTATGAGTTGACCCTGAGGCCAAATTTCCTTAGTCATTCATCAACATGGGGAAGGTTAGAGAACACACAAATATAATGTTACAAGTGTGCTCATAAATTAGGCAATGGCCTTAAAAATGCAACATGCCTAAAAAAAATCCCATTTTTACTGATTGGACAATTAAAATATTTAAAACAACCAAAGCTGTAGTGCACCTGCCTGGAAAAATGTACATGTTTATTTGACCCCCTCACACATTGAAAAAAAAAGGCAAAACAATCTATGGATCACAGACGGACATTTGCAGAGGATGGTGGCATTTTGGGATCACAAAGTCTACAAAACTACAATTAGATGCCACCTTCATGCTGAAATTTTTTTGGAAAACATGCCAACCACAAATGTAAGAGCCTGGAGTTCGCAAAACACCACTGGAATTTTAACTAGAGCAAAATTTTATTATTTCTAAGAAATGTTCTTAGAATTTCCATCTTCTAAGCAACAATTAAGGTGGGTTTGGTGTTAAAAGTAATTTTATACCTACAAAATGCACCTGTATGGCAGGTGTAGCTGATTCAATTTTTGGAATAACCATGATCATAAACTCTTGCAAGTGTCTGATTTTTTTTCAAATCACCACAAGAACATCAAGATGATAAGACACGGTGAAGGCGAGAGAGCGCCAGCTCAATTAATCAAGAGCATCAATACTGACAGAGCAGGTGCCCAAGAATAATTAACTAAAAAAAATCCTGACCCAGCAAGGACTCCCGCAGAGCAAACTAATAGATTAAATTAAATGTAATTTAATTAATGTTGTTCCCACAACAGCTTAAACCTATTTGCAAGTGACTTTTCCAGCAAACTGTTTATTTCCTTTTACACAGTAAGGCCTTTAACATTATCTTCAGAGAGGCTATTGCTCATATTGCTGCTTTTTTTCCTTCCTTTTAATCATGCAGATGATCTCTGATGAAAAGCAACAATCAAATCTACACTGCTGGTCAAAAGTTTGGGGATATTTTTCTTTTTATTGTGAATAATGTTTGATTTGCACAATTAATTAGCTTGATGTTCATCAAATTGTCTTCCTTGGTATGAACAGTATGTTTTATCTAAATAATGATTTGATATATTCTTTTTTTCAGAATACTGTTAAATGTGCATTATGAGCTCTTGCTTCATCTGAAAGATTTAACTGGTGATGGTCACATGGGTTTCAGCCTTATTCCCAACAGAGTGATGTTTTTTTCTAGTAAACAATGCAGATGTACAGCTTTCTATTTAATATGTTAAATGATTGTACATTAATTAAACACATTTTTAAAAACACAGTGTCACAAAACATTTTATGAGTGGTGTATATACTAATTATTAGTAAAGCAGAATTAGACATGGCTGCATACTATCACCAACTTGTATGCTGAACATATAATAGAGAAGCAAGACTGAAGGAAGATGAGCAAAGATTGCTGGAAGATACATCAATACCCTTCGATATGCACTCATAATGAAAAGTTCTAAGGAAAGTTAAAGAACAGAGTGAAAAGATGGGTCTTCAGCTCAATATGAAGGTTATGACAAAGGGAAAAGTTGCTAACTTTACTATTGACTGTGAAGATGTAGAAGAACAGCTTTGTCTGTTTGGATCAATTATTAACAACAAAGGATCCAGGAGTCAAGAAATACGACACAGATTGGCTCTCAGCAGACCGAGGATAAAAGGGCTTAGAAAGATCTTCAGATATAATGGTGTGTCTTTGCAAACAAAGATCAGAACTGTCCAGGCTATGGCCTTTTCTGAGGTTCTTTATGGATGTGCAAGCTGGACAATAACAAAGCAGAACAGGAAAAAATGTTGATGCCTTTTAACTTTGGTGTTGGTGAATACTTTTGAGACTACCTTGGATAGAAAAAAAAAAAAACAAATGGATCCTTGATCAAATCAGTCATCACTTCTTACTCGAAGCCCAGAAACTGAAGCTGTCCTACTTTGGAAATATTATAAGAAGAACAAATTGATTGGTAACAATAGTTATGCTCGGAACGGTTGCAGGTAAAAGAGGATGACAAGCAACAAATATTCAACCAGAGATATCATGAACAAGCTATTAAGAAGCCTAAAGACCCAAACAGACAACAGCTATCCATACAAAACACTATCCATATGGTTGCCATGAGTTAGAACTGACTTGACGGTCCACAAAATAATAACAGGAAGATATTTTGCAGTATGGTCTTCAGTGCAGTGGAGAAGTTGGGCTGTTCGGGAAGCCATGAGAAAATCGCTAATGAGATCCTAACTCAGAACCCCAATATCTGACCAGAGAAACTGATAATGGAACACTCTTAAAATGTCATACCAGAGTATAAAGGACCTGCCAGCACTTTTTCAAAAGGGTGCTGTAGGATCTACACTCTTAAGTAAAAGGTTCCTAAATGGATCTTGGCTCTGTGGTTCCTGGAAATAAATTTAATTAGTATAAAATATTTACAATGTGAGTTTTTTTTAAACATTCAAAAGGTTCTTTGTACTCTTACATCTCATTTACTAAAAGTGTTCTTTTAAGTTGCACTATGTACGTTTTTTTTTTGGTTAAAATTGAAAGAAGTAGCATCTTAATACGTCTTTCCATATGACCATCACATGCACAGGATCAAAAATAAGGTTAATGTTTAGGTCTTAAATGCAAAATCAACATTATACTGATGAAGATATGATGATAATAGTAGATAATTCACTTACAGGCTTTGATCAAGTTCTTTTTGAACACTCAAAATGAATCATCAGATTCATCCACTGGGGAAAGGAGTCTGGAGCACTGCCAATGTTACAAAATGTTCTTCCGCATGTGGCGTGCAATTACAAATTTTTCCACAAGGAGCTCTTTACATGCCCCAAATTTACATAGTGTAGCTTTAAAGAATTATCCATTAAAAGTGTTTGCTAGGAAACCAAACATGATATTTCTATGGCATCACTCCAAAAAGCCTTTTTGGCACTTTTATTTTTTAGATTGCATAATGAACCGAAGAAGTTGGCGCACAGAGTCACTGGTTGGCTGTTTTCTTCATGTAATTCTTTTATTAATAGGTTTCATGAAAAATGAGCTTATTTTTGATTTGCTTCAATTTCCCCCTCATCACCTGCTTCAGTTCACTGAGCATGACTGCCGTCTGTTTCATGAACTACAAAAAGGGGGACACGTTTTGATAAATGCAGCAGGGGACCAACATAAAAGCTGTATACTTATGTCTTTTGTGTTTTGTGAGTTGTCAAAGGTAAATGTTACAGACCCTGGAACACAGTTAAGCTGGGCTTACACCACACAATTCACAGCTCCATTTTAACTCTGATTTTCCACTTCTGACAAATTCGTACAATCTGAAGTAATTTTCCAGGTCAAGGGGCTTAAAGGAAAGTGACTGACTGCGTGGATGATCTGGTAGAGTGAGAGGAGACACGAGTCAATCTTTAGCCCTCTGATCGAGCTCTGAAGTGATCTGAGGCCTTCTGATATTTTCAAACATTTGATTTTTACAACTTAAAAAGCCCTGTAGTGTGAAATGGTCAGTGATGTAGCTTTGTTTGTATTGCGTAATAACGGGGGAGATCTGGGATTCTGAGTGCTTTTCACGTGTGTTGTACCCCTGTTTTGCCTTATTGTCTAGTGTGCACATCCTCAAAACAAAATAACAGTAGATTCTGTAAAAGACAGACATTCAGTTTGCAATGCTCTCGGTTTTTGAAATCATCTAGGATTTTAAAAGTCATATAGTGTCTGCCCAGTTTTAGGCACTGTTTTTCACTTAAATTGTTTTTTAGTTTTTTTTTAATTAATATTGTCCCACTTTTGTGAAACTCACAATACTAGAAAATGACATTTTCTATAAACAATTTGCCATAGTCATCATGCCATGAAACTTCTCATCACATTGGTTTATCAGTCTACTCAGGCTTTAGTTAGAATCTCAGTGTTTGTTAAGAAGCTGTTGGCTAAGCTACGCTTTATGGCCCATTTAACAAGCGTTTTTGCTGCACAAA